CCTCCTCAGCTGGAGACTCCTCCTCAGGTGGAGACTCCTCCTCAGCTGGAGACGCCTCCTCAGCTGGAGACTCCTCCTCAGCTGGAGACACCTCCTCAGCTGGAGACGCTCTGGATGCTTGTCACCCACAGCACGCATGCGACAGAGAATAAACTCTAAGCGACAGCGACACCTGCCCCTCGTTTACTTTAACAGTTTTTGTGTGTTTTTAATACAGAAGTAATGATTAATAAATGTTGGACTCTATTCTTTGCTAACAGAATTTATTTTGTCATTAAACAACTTGTCAGTTTCTTCTCGCTCTGGCGCTCTCTGCGACTCCTCTGCTGTTGCTGCACTGAGACCAGGTCCAGGTCCAGGTCCAGGTCAACCTTGAGCAGGAGCTGAGAGCTGCAGGATCATGTTTCAAACTGCGCTTCAAAAAGCTGTGCTCTGCAAAACGTGCTCATTGTAGCCGTTAATCCTGACTTCCTCATTTTGATTAAAAAAATTAATCTGCACAAATCGTTTTATTCATTTTTGTTTTGTAAGTCAGGAGTGTTTTATAAAACACTCCTGACTTACAATGTTGCTGATCAATTTGAATTTATTATTTTTTATTGACTGTATTTAATTTGATTGTTCAGTATCAAATGATCAAAAATGTTTAGTTTAAATAAGGATATACATTTTTAATTTCAGGCAAATTGATGCACTTTAAGCCTTTTTTGTTACAGACTATAAAACAATGTTAATAATCTTTGTTCTAAGTTGATCTATATTTCTTTATTTAATGTTAATAAGGGTACAATGTTAAATGTTATACGTTTTCCTCATAAAGATTTGTCAGATGTTTAACAAGAGAATAAAACTTGGATAACTCTTTTGAACCTTCATGCAAAAATCACATTTTTTGTTAACAGTAAAACCAACACTTTCTCTTGTTGTACTTTACCTTTTCTAACTGTAATTTATTGTCATGGTCTCCTGTTTTGTTGTCTGTACTTTATGCGTCCTGTCTGGAACAGGTCTGTAAATGAGTCCCCGTGGCTCAGTGAGACTAGCCTGTATCAATAAAGGTTGAATGAAAACGATTCATGTTTGTGTCCAGGCTGGTGTTCTGGCTTGGAGATCTCAACTTTAGGATACAGGACCATGGCATGCACTTCGTCCGCTCCTGCATCAACAATCAAACTTACAACTTGCTGTGGAACAGTGACCAGGTCTGGCCCTTTCAACGTCTCTCAGCCCCAGTTTGTCCCCACCAACACAGACGTTGTAAATCATTTGGATTCTTGTTGTTTCAGTTGATCATGCTGAAGAACAAAGAAGAGCTGCTGCAGGAGTTTGAAGAAGGACCACTGAACTTCCAGCCTACATACAAGTTTGACTTGAAGTCAGATCATTATGACAGCAGGTAAGTTTGTAGAGACAGTAACGAGACACGCTCGTGTTCACACAGTGATGCATGTAAATCTGGACTTCAAATAACTCGTATTTGTTTTGCCTTCACCTCTTTTTAACTTCACAGACTCTACAGGACATGGTTTGACTTTAAGTAAGAGTCTACAAAAATAGTTGTACTTGCATCATTATTGGTGTAATTCTTTGTTTGATGCATCTAACAACACCTTCACGTTTGGATATGCAGTCGCTCTACCTGCGAGTAAAGGAAGGATGCTCTGATTCAGTGCATGTAATCTAAGTAGTGCTTCCTAATTTACTAAAAATGATTTTAATCTGTAAAGTGCTGTAGCATCCCAAGCTAGTACAACGGCTAACACTTCAGCTGATGAAAACTCTGCCACCTTGTTCACAAACCCTGTAACAGCTAAACTAACCGTGCACACTGCCGTAGCACGTTTCTGTAGTGACCTTATTCTTTGCATACACCTGGGGACCTCGTATGGCAGCACCTGTGGAGCGTTCTTCTGTTATTTTCTGTGCAAGTTCTTCTATGAAGCTGTTAGTTTTGTCACATACTGTACCTGTATATATTTGACAAATATGGAGTTCAGACTTTATGACCAAAACATTACGTTGTACAGCTCCCTCAGATAACAGAGTACCGTACTGGTATTTTAATCATTGTGGTCCCATGCTGTCCAGCAGTTGTGGAGATTAGTTCATCCACGTCCATCTATGGCTGGACGATATGCCCAAAACTTATCACGATTTGTTTCTTAATTTCGGTCCATGACAATATAATTCCGATATCGATATAAAAAATATAAAAGCTTCAGATAAACTGTACAAACTGTACAAATAAATTAATGTTCACCTTTTATTTGTTTTTTGCCTTCAAAAGAAATTTGAAAGAACCATCAAATAAGCATAAAACTCTCAACTTTGTGAATATTAATATTATTTAAACAACAGCAACATAACCTAACAACTCGTGCAGCAAACCTGTGTTTTCTGGGGACGTTGGCTCAGACTGTTGTTGTTCTTCATCTTGTGACTCTCAGCAGGTTCTGTCCAGTGGAACAAGTTCCATGTGTTCCCACCGCTAGTTGGAACGACTCTCCGTCACATTTTGCAGCACACTGACTGAAACCTGCAGTTTATCGGATCTTAGATAGTCGAACCACTTCCACACGACAAATTGGTCTTTCCTCTCTTATCAGTGATGTCATCTGCTTCTCTTCGCTTGTGAAATTTGTTCAGTCACATTCTGACGGTCATGGGAACTCATTTTGAAGCGAAAACTTGCTGCACGTTGGACCGTTAGCCTAGCCTGCTACCGCTGACTCCTTCTGGACCCGAGCTCTGCGTAACTTCTACGTCACCACGCACTAACGTAGTTGTGTCACGGCTTTTTCTGTTCGGGTTGAAACTGAAGCGGCCGCTTCAACCCGAACAGAAAAAGAAATGTGTCAATGAAACTCTGTAATCATATAGAAATATCGAAAATGTACTTAAAACCCGTATCACTGCTATTGAATAAAAGTATATCGTGATATATATCGATATCGAATTATTGTCCAGCCCTACCACTAAAGAAGAAACAGTGAAGCTCTCATTAAAAACTTTACACTTAAACAGTCAAAACTACGACTTGTTAAAGTGTTTGTTCATTTTACTGATGGAAAACTAACAGACCGACAGTTTTTTGTTTTTTAAATAAAATTTCTGCTTTTATTGCTTAAAACAGAAGAATAACACTGAATATTACAACTTTTGGTGCTGTCGCCTCACAGCAAGGTCTCCTGACCTCTCGCACACTGATTGTTGGACATGGGCACCAGTGACCCCTACGACCTAAAAAAGAAGAAGTGCGTGAAGATAATCAAGTCCAAGGTTCTTTATTGTCATTCGCATCACATGTAGTACATGAGGTGGAATGAAATTGTGTACACAAGGTCCCACTTACACCCAAAAATAGCAAAAATATAAAGTATAAAAAGAAACTGTGTATATGGATCTAAGATAAGATGGAACTTTTTTGATCCCACAGGAAATTGTTGATCTAATATATACACTAAGATATACGCTAAACAATCAGAATCAGAATAAGCTTTATTATTATTGTACCGGAATACAGTGAGATTATGTTCGTACAGTCGTCCGAAAGATGGGCGGAGTGCACGTTGCTGCTGCTACTGAAGCGCGGCCTCTTATTCTTTATCAGAATACTTTTTTAGTCAGAAAAGGGGAAAAGGCCACGAGGAGAGGATAGTGGTACAAAAAAGATCTCTTCACATCTTGTCCTATCAGGACATGATTTAAGACATTAAAAAACTCTACCAGCAGCACTTTTATAAACACATTACATACATATGCATTTGGCGTCATTGAGATTTGTCCATGAAGCACTTCCAGATAGGCCATAGTCCTGATAAGATGTTGTTCAGTTGGCAGTACTAATAAGCCTGTACAGAAGTTCTCGGGAAGGTGTGTTTGTGTGTGGGGGGAGGTTGCGATAGACAAAGCTTTTTCCTTAGTTTACATATGTCCCAGGAGAAATTTGATAGTCGGCTTGCATCTGAGGCCAAATGGGGGAGTCAGATTCAGATAACCCACAATTGTTGATTTTCTTCAGGCAGATTGCTTTTTTTCTTGTCAGCCTTGAGTCCTGCTGGTTCTTTCCAGATCCAAAATGTCCAGATTTATGGGCATTCCACTGATCCGTGCTATGAGCCTTCTTCAAGGTCGACTCCAACATGCTGGCGAGTCCTAGAAGCCGCAAGTGGCCTGCAGTTCTCACAAATAGCTTCCATCGTACGGTTTAACTCGTAAATCAGCTGATTTTAAGTACTCATAGCATGAACCAAACTTTCACAGAGACTTGGCAGTTTGTCATGGCCGAAACTGCTGCCGATGTCTTCTTCAAAAGTTGATAACATAAAGACCTGCCGAGGCTAAAAAGCAGAAACCCTACTATCATGAATCCAAATATATAAATGTCTTCGGCATCCTCCTGAGACAGAACTGAAAGACACATCAGCTGCCAAACTCCCCACAGATCCCCGATGTATCCTGCAGCATGAGTCTCAGCAGGACATGAGGGCTCTCCAGGACACTGGCGTTCTGTTGAAAAGATTTTGTTGATTGTGTTGAAAGTCCAGCTCACCAGAGCCATAATAGTATTTTTTTTTTGTTTGGAAGATGTGTACCAGGAGCTCTGAGACACACACAGAGAGAAAAAAGCAGGAGGAAGAGGAGAACAGGGGAGGGAGAGGAGAAGGTGTCCGCCTTGAGCGAGGGCACTAAACAATATGCTAAAATATAATGGATGGATGGATGTATGGAAGGATGGAAGGAAATGTACACTCAAAAGGCTCGTCATTTGTGGGAATGCATATCACCCGTTGCCTTTCATGTCAGAGTGCTAAACTATCATCATATGCTGAGAATGGAGAAATTATTGCTGTTCTGGTCAAACCTTAAAATTAACTTAAAGGGGATTTCATCCAGTTTTGCAAGAAGTCACATCTGAATGTCGTGAACGAATTGGCTTGGCTCCTTAAACTCATCACTGTAGATGTACAGTTACAGCCAATACGTCCAAAAAGTTTCTCTGAAGCGTGCTTCACAAATCAAAGTTCAGGCTCAGTAATCCAAGTAGAAAAGACAACAAAGTTCAGTCAGGTCCTCTGGAAAGTTTCTTTTTGTTGAAACGTTTCAACTTTCATCCAAAGAACCCGTCCAGAGGACCTGACCTAACTTTGTTGGATGTGCCTCACATGATATTTTGATAACTGACACATGGACAAAAACAACATAGTGTCCACCTGCACCTTTGTGCAGCTGGCAGTAAAAAGCTTAAACACAATGAGTTTGAATGCTTTTACATAAAACGGTAACAGTTTAATAGTTATTATTACATCTGTTTTGACAATCAGTATAAATTATTTATTCATTTATTTATTCTCTTGATACATGTTCCATTATCTCACATGCAAGAGGGTTACCGTCTCAAAGGTTTAGCAAGGTCGGCTAAAACTGGTCTGTGCTCTCTCCCCTGTGGTCGACTGTTTAGCAGTAAGAAGCGGAAACCTGCTTGGACTGACAGGATTTTGTGGCGTGTACGACCCAAAGCTCTGCCTTCTGACGAGCAAGACGAGAACTCAGTTGGACCAAGTCAAGTGTCGATCACACAGCAGGATGAGGATGAGGAGTACCCTCTGAAGCTCAGACAGGACTTGTACACCAGCAACATGGAGTACAGCATCAGTGACCACAAACCTGTCCTTGGCATCTTCACACTAACGGTGAGACACTCTATCACTGTGCGTCACATGATCACCCATTCCTCGGTAACGTTATCTGTCTTTGACACATTCTTCTCTTCTGCTCTGGTGATGGACCGACTAACAGATGAGGTCAGGCATGAATCCCCGTGAACTATGATATGTGCAGATGACATTATGATCTGTGCTGAGAACAGGGAACAGGTGGAAGAGAACTTGGAGAGGTGGAGGTATGCTCTTGAAAGAAGAGGAATCAGCCGTAGTAAGACAGAGTACATGTGTGTGAATGAGAGGGAGGAGGTGGAACAGTGAGGCTACAAGGAGCAGAGGTCACAAAGGTGCAGGACTTGACGTACTTGGGGTCCACTGAAGAAGAGAGTCCAGGCAGGATAGTGTGGATGGAGAAAAGTTTCAGGAGTGATTTGTGACTAAAGGGTGTCAGCAAAGGTCAAATGAAAAGTTTACAAGACAGAGGTGAGACCAGCTATGTCAGGGGTGGGCAAACTTTCAGACTCGCGGCCACACTGAGTTCTAAAA